ACTTTGATGACGTTTGCATGTCGCGACGAAAGGGTGGAGAGACATTTATGACAAGAAAGTTACGACGAGAAAAAGGAAATAATATTATTTATTTGGTTTTTTTTTTCTTTTTTTGTTGAATTTGCAAACAATCGACAAACTGATTTACATTTGAAGAAGGATGTTGTCTTCCGATAAACGTTTTAACTTTTTTTTTCTCTCTCTTTCTCACAAAACATACTTAATTTCTTTGCATGCCATTTTTGGATTTTACTTTCATTTACTCATGCTCCTCTATTATTTATCTTTCATTGAAATATCTTGCAACGTATAACAAAAATATTTTGTTAGTCCAGCAATTCACTTAATGCTTCGGTATTTATTTCTAAGATATTGTAAAAAAGAAAAAAAAAACAGAGAAGCGATCCTTCCGACGATTTGCAAATATCGAATAGCCTTTTAAAGGGTATCCTATTTATCATGAAATAAATAGATACTTGCATGATATATAATGTATTACAAGCATACAAGAAACATTTTCTAAATATAAACTAGAGTTTTGCGTGAAACATATCGTTCGATCTTTTCGATCTTTCCTTGAGTTACATCTTTCGCGCATGTAAGTTATTACAGTAGAATGTTCGTACTGTAGAAATGATAGATTTGCACAAAAAGTTCAAGTATACTTTATCTTATTTTTTAAAAAGTTTGTTTTTACGTAATAACACATTGTAAAGGATAGAGAAAATTTTACAGTTTGAAAAAGTAAATAAGACCGAGGCAAATTGATACAATGTAGTTATATAGAACACTATGTATATATAGCTCGATCAGTAATAAATATTTTTATGAAGACGATTTTATATAATGCCTTCCTGAAGAGTAATTTGAGATGTTTTCTCTGAGGTCAAGTGGTGAATTAATTAAATGTAAAAATATATTATAATTACATATGCAATAATTTTTATTTGAATTAATTTTTTATTATTCACAATCTGTCAATTTTATTAAAATAAAAATGTTTATAATTATATTTCAACCAATTTATTTAAAATACAATATTTTGAATATTACAAATAGTTATTATGTATTATATTAGATATTTTACACATGTATCAATTTGCCTGGTAGTAAGAAAGTATATTAATAGATTTTGATTTCGTTGCATGAACATTTTCTCAAAAGTTTCATTTAGGATATATAAAGAATTAGGGCCAACGTATATTTTAGTGAATGTTTTATTTCGTAATTAATTAAAGTGAAAATAGCAAGAAATTAAGAACTGAGAAACGTATCAACTTGCTTCGGTTCCAAGCAGTTGTGTTAGTGGTAGCTAGATAGAAACCATCGTAATTAGGATATACGTGGCAGAATCAGCTTATTCACCACAGTTTTGACATTTGATGATTCCCAAGCCGAAGATGAAGAGAACAGCTTGCCACACTTGGACAGCTTCCAAAGCAAACTTCCACCTGGAATTCTACCACATGGTTTGCCACAGGTTAAGGAAGTTCAACCTGCTGTTACACAGGTAGAACAAGAAAAGGAGAAAGAAAAACCTAAGAAAGAAGGTACTTTCTTCAATTCATTTTATTCAAATCTTAATCAGAATGATACCCATGCTATATATCTTCTCCACTTGTTGAATACAAATTTGAAAACAGTACGCGAGTTCAGCGAGGAAGAAAAACAGATGATCATACTTTCTGAGGACTTTAAACGATTTCTCGATTGCACCAGTAGGATTGTAGAAAGAGCATTAGGCGAATCGATCGACATTTATACCGATTATACCGGCACAATGGACGGCGAGGATGGATTGTAAGGAAATAAATGATAGATCATTTTCTTACCATACTTTAATTTTCTATACATCAATCAAAATTTTTTGTTTCTTTACAGGGACGAAAAAAGTCATCAACAATTATGGTTGAACCGTTCCTTTTTTTGCGAACGGTGGTCGCGTAATCGCTGCGTCACTTCGATGGATTGGTCTCCGCAATTTCCAGAACTTCTTGCGGCCTCGTACAACAACAACGACGATACTCCGAATGATCCCGACGGTGTATGTTTAGTTTGGAACACGAAATTCAAGAAGTCCACTCCGGAATTCATTTTCCATTGTCAATCACCGGTGATGTCGACAACTTTTGCAAAATTTCATCCAAATCTGATTTTGGGTGGTACTTATTCTGGTCAAATAGTACTTTGGGATAATCGTGTACAGAAAAGAACGCCTGTACAAAGAACACCCTTGTCAGCTTCAGCTCATACAGTAAGTTTCTTTTTTACCGTTCAATCGAATTCAAAAGCTGTAAGAACAATCAGAATGATTACGGAGTAATTCTCGATCGAAAATGATAGCTTGTCCTTGATTAGATTCCGTTACAGATAGTGCAGAATCCCGTTATGCTTTCCTATAGTGAAAAAACATTGTGGTTGTTTGTCCTATAATTTCGTGCTATTACAGTCACATGTTCTTCTTTTCTCTTATCTGTTCTTTTATACTTCTCTATTACAAGAACGATTGTCGATTTCTTTCAGCATCCTGTGTATTGCTTAACTGTTGTTGGAACACAAAACGCACATAATTTGATCAGCATCTCGACTGATGGTAAACTATGCTCTTGGAGTTTGGATATGTTGTCTCAACCACAGGAAACATTGAACCTATTATTAAAACAATCTAAGACAATAGCGGCTACTTGCTTAGCTTTTCCTCATGGAGATGTGAATAATTTTGTCGTTGGTAGCGAAGATGGAACTGTATATGGCGGTAAGTTTTCGTAATTTTCTCAATAGGTTTAATGTTTAACAAAAAATTCTCAATAAAGTTGAGTTTTTCTTTTTTTTTTTTTTTATAGATTGCAGGCATGGCAGAAAATCTGCCGTGGTTGAAATATTTTATGAGGGTCATCAGGGGCCAGTGACCGGTATTAGTACACATGCTGTTCAAGGAGGAATTGACTTCTCTCATTTGTTTTTAACATCCTCTATCGATTGGACCATAAAACTGTGGAGTCTTAAAGAATTGAAACCTCTTTACTCATTCGAGCATAACGGAGATTATGTATACGATGTTGCATGGTCACCAACTCATCCAGCATTATTTGCAGCTGTTGACGATTCAGGGAGATTAGATCTTTGGAATTTAAATCAGGATACCGAAGTACCCGCTGCTAGTGTCATCGTTGATGGAAATCCTGCATTGAATAGAGTTTCTTGGACACCGAGCGGTTTACACGTCACGGTCGGAGATGACACTGGTAAAATTTGGGTTTATGATGTTGCAGAGGTAAGAGTCGGTTTTGATGTAATTGCGATAAGTTCCTATTACTATATTATATATTAATTATCGTAAAATTTTGTTCACAGCATTTGGCATATCCAAGAAGCGATGAATGGAATAAGTTCTTATATACACAACAAGATTTGAAGAATAACAAAGCGGATGAAGAATTAGACAGGCTCAATCTTAATTCCGGACCTTCTTCATTAACTTCTTTAACATCCATTTCATCTTGTCCGCTTAGATAAAGATTTTGTGCTACTTAGAGAGAATCACGATTATAAAATGTGGGTTTAGCTTACTTTAAAGCCAACATAATATAGAATACTTATTAAAAAGCTGGTATAAAATTTTATCAAGGATATACATATTGTTGAAAAAACAAAGGATACTCATTACGCTATTACTCTTATTGATAAAAAAAAGGTTCTTTTACAAAAATCTTTTTTCCACAATGATATCTTGTACACTAATAACATAATTTTCACGATTTATATGTATTCATTTATTTAACGAAATGGAATTAATTCTATAATTTAACTAAAATTAAATTATTTCATTTTAATAATAGTAAGTGGTCATATCATTAATCTAGCTTTAAGATTTATTATTATTCGCAGAATATAATAGTAGAAACTGCAATTCTAACGTTTGTGTCTAAATTTTTGTTCATTTGTTTTATTTGCTGCCTAATATTATATTAGATTATTACAGAATAGTTTTCCAAGGATACCTCGATTACTTAGTTAAATTTAATTCCTCTTTTTAAGGCACATGTAATTTAATCTTATAGTAAGTAATATTATTTATATTGTTAGATTTTTTTGCATAGATTTTTCATACTATCCGCTTTACCACGCCCATGTTATATCTCTCTTATAATCTTCCTTTAAGTAATATTAATTTATATGTATAAATTTTGTACATTGCTCGAAAATGCAAAATACAACGTTAAGGTGTTAGCTAGATAAATGCTCTACATGAAATTAGATTTATGTTTATTCTTTTAAATGGACTCTGTACTTATACTCGATAACTTATAATCAATATTTTTTTTTTCAGGATAACGGATTATATGCTATCACGTCATTCTATTGTTATTTCTTTATATTCAAATTAAAATACAGAATAATTAGTTGTTAATCAGCAACAGTGAATTAATATATTAAATTTACTTGTAAATAATATGAGCTGTATAATTGATCATATTTTAAATAAGCATTCAGTATTTTGAGAACGTAATACGAATTCTATTATATTGTATAATTGTAAAATAATGTTTTATTAATGATTGTCAATATTTTTGGATTTGCATAATAATTTTTTAATTTTTTAAATCACGGCTTAGAGCAATTAATAAATCTATGCGGTTATACATATAGCACAATAAATAATTAAGAATACGTTCATTTTTTTAATATATTAATAATTTTCATATCATGCTCGTTGATTGCTTCATTTTATCTTTATTAATAAATAAAATAATCAAATGTATCTATCTTACTTGAATACAGTATTTCACATGTATGAAATATAATAACTGTAATAACTTTTGCGAATGTTTAAATGATCAATTTATATTTACAATCCTTCAAAATACTTTTATTTTCTATTACAGAATCGTTACTTATTCTTTGTTCGATATTACTTATTAGAGAAATAAAAATAATTGATGACGAACGTATAAGTATTATATTACTATGAAACGATAGTTCTATGTATCACGCGTGTCGTATCTGTCGATGACGTCATAACAATTCACCATTGTGCTGCATTTAAGAAATGACGTAAGTAGGGCACCATTGAGCAAATGTCAGATTTAAATAAAAATATGGCGTTGGGCGGTGACATGTGTCATTATTTAGATCAGTAGTTCTTTAAACCGGGTTCGATACAAACGATGTCTGATTCGTCGAAATGTTATAAAAAAATCGAAAATTTAATCATTTTGCATTTTCAAAAAATTCAGTCTAAAGTGTGTAAGAACGTTGACATAAATTATAAAAATCGATAATACCAATACAGTCTAATTTTAAACTGTATGACAGATTTTAATATAAGAATATTGTACTTCCATATAAGTGATACAAGATTTTTTTTATAATTATTTGTACATTAAAGTGAACTATTATAGATGAGATAAGAAAAAAGAAATAGAGAGGTTATGTCAACGTTTCATCTTGACAGGCGCAACTGCTTTCAGCTGCATTAAAAAGTAGAATATAAAAAAGTTGCGAAAGGCTAGCGAGTAGTCAGTAACCATTCTGCTCTCGACTGAGCAGGTAGTACTTAGAAGAAGTTCTTATCTATTTTTTCGCAGTTAATGAATTTCAATTTTACTATCTTTTGAAAATCTCTACAATTTTGGAAATCTACAAGGATATACAAAAGAAGGAAGCAAATATGGGCGACAAAAGAATCGGTGAGTACGAGACAAAAAAAGGTGAATGCACTTTTGGAGTTTTAAAAATCTGCAGATTGCACACTAAGTAGGAAGCTGAAAAAAAGCAGGCCAACCTGCTCCATTTTTTATCAAGAACACAGTAAAAAATCGATGATACACATTTTGAAAAAAGGCTCGACTGCGACTCAATTTTTTCTTCTTTATCTTCTTTATCAGTCATTTTCTTTTCTTTGTATTAGACGTAAAAAGAATTTATTTATTTCTTTTTTTTTTTTTTTTTTTTATTTTAATAAAAGATAAAATCTCAATTTTAATCTTTCTTTATTTTGTTTTAACAGAGCATATTGTAATGACACCAAAGTGCAAAACTGGGAATTCAACAACTTTGATAATAGAAAGACAAGCTTTAGAACCTCCCACAGAAAATGGAAATGATAATGTACATGTTGCTGGTGGAGATCACAAAGGAATTGTTATTAACAAACAAGCTATTAATGGTAGTTACATGATCTTTAAAAATAAATTATTTGGTTATCCAATGGATCCTATAATAGTTTTGTTTGTTTTAATTTCAGTTACAAATGGCGATGTATCAGCACCACATCTGTGTCTACAATTTAGAGTATTTTTAGTAAGTACACAAACTGGGAAACATACACAAGAGTCTAGGACACTTGAATTTTGGTTTAGCGATACCTGTTCAGAAACAGAACAACCCACTGTCGCACAAGAATTTTTTAGAGAATTAGTTGCACCACAAGAATTTCCAAGAGGTAAAAAATATTTAAAAATTACGTGATTGATATATTTATTTTTATATATTAATTGTATTAACACGAATGTTTATTTATAAATTTTATAGATTACGTGGGATTTATAAAGAAAATAATAAAGCTAATGCAACACAAGTACTCCAGTATTAAAAAATTAGAGGTAGAATTGAAACAACTTGAAGAACCAGTTTCACTTCCAACTAGACCATGTAAGTTAAACCTTATAAAGCATAATTACTTGCATATGCAAGTAGAACAAATGTGTAAATATAAATGTTGATTTGTCTTAGACTCTAACTAACATTTTGAAACCATTTATTTTACCTTGAAAAAAAAATCACTTATATATGGGTGGAGGTTCATCTCTCATTTGATTAACCTCATTGAACTTGATAGTTCCTTATTGAACGATATTGGAGCAGCTGTCTCAAGTGCACATTAAAGCAGAAACCAGAGGAAATACGTACTTGACTTGAAACTTACTGTTTTGTTCCATTGATTTAAGGGAGACATTATTTATGTTTATAGCGTGTGTCAGTATATATATTGTTAAGTATTATTATTACATTTTCTACTTCATCTCTTATTATTCACAGCCCGCACCGGTTATATAGTCATCACACTTCCTCCGTCTAAGAAAATTATTTGGAAAACAGGTTCGAGAAGAAGAAAAAAGTTCTGCATTTTTGTCATGTTTTGTTGTTGTGTTTCATTTTTCTTATCCACAGGCCTCTAGTTAAAACACAAGTTAATACACATAATGTAGATGAAAATAATGATTTAATATCTTCTGGTCAATACTGTTTACAGAATCTATTTTTCATAGCCATTTATAAAACTAAAACAAATTTGTTTGCTCATTAAAATAGTTCGTTTACATATATTTGACCAGTAGATACATATTTCTCTACTTAGCACAACAGACTGGTAACCATAACAACATTGGCTTAACACTTATTACTCTCTATAATTTGCATTATGCTCTTTTATAGATTAAATACATATAACTAAACAAAAAAAAACAACATTCATTTTTTATCACGTAATGTAATAATTGATTATTTGGATCACACATACATGAATAAAAATTTTCTAGTATTCATATTCTAAAATACCAGTAAATGTCTCTAGATGCACTTCGTTTATTTTCTGTAGATTGTGTATCAATTAAAATATAGAAAATGCTGGTATTTAATTATTCTATTTAACATAGATGTTATATTCTATATATGGAGAACAATGTATACACAAAGAATATTCATAATAACGAAGCATGATTCTCAATATATACACAAATAGTATGTTATTATTATGCTGCAAGAACTGTGTGTATCTAACAAACATTATAAATAACAATAAAATAAGCAATTTATACAAACTAATTTTTCATTTCAGAGTCACTTTGTTTTTGTGCAATACTTTTTATATGCAGATGCACAGCTTTAGTATTTAATAAGTTTTATAGTATGCATTGTATTATATATGATTACATTATTTATTATTTTTGTTAATAGTATCTACGGATGAAGCTGTTATGGATCAAGTAATAGAGCTCACTATAGAAAAGGTGTTGGAACTTATTGAATCTGCTTATCCAAATCCAGTTACCGTAATTGATATAGCAAAGTAAGATAAAACAAATTTAATATCAACAAATAATGAATATTTAATTATCAATCTCATAAAACATTTTGTATTACAGAGAATATGGTTGGGAAGTATCTGCAGTCGAAGCAAAGATGAAGGAATTACAAGAAAAAGGTGTTGTAAAAGCAATGGATCATGGAGCTTTCACCAGAGTTGTACATCAAGATACTCAAGTTCAGGTAAAATATATCAAATTTATATGTATTTATCTAAAATATTCATAAATATTTTAACATATTTTACAGGTTGTCAAACAAATGCCTACAATGGCCAGTTCTAAACAGCCAACAATAGCAATTATCACGGCACAGTATTGCGAGAAGCTTGCAGTAGATTCCATGATTGAAAATAAAGAAACGTTTGTTCGATATACGACTGTAGGTAAGTTCTTGCATTTTCAATATTTTATAATTATCTATTCTCGAGAGTATACTATAATTGATGTCTATTCGGAATTGTCATTGTATGGCTTTCCCAAACCATCATCTGACTTATGTAGTACTTTAATAATTTACTTTATTAAAATTACATTTACAATACTAATAATGAAATAGTGATTCATTTTAGTATCAATAGAAAATAGCAAAATTCAATAGTCTTTCATTATGTGACTTACAATTAGAGTACAATAAGTAATATATCAATAGTAATTCTATATTCTAATCTATTCCTTATACATACACGTATATTACGTTAAACAATTACCGATACTTAGACAAGAGATTGTTAATCAGTAATATATATATGCATAAGGAGAACTTATTGAATATAAGATTTTAAAACATGCCGCATAAATAAATATATATATATATATTTATATCTATTTCACCATGCATGAAACTTTAGGTACACCAACTTCACCAGATACAACAGACGGAGTTCCGCGCGTGTCTTGCCGTTTTGGTAAAGTAGTTTGTAACATAGCTAGTTTTTTGTTATCAACGTTACTTGTAATGTCACTTCATAGCTTGCCATCTGCTTGTATCCAAGGAACGCTGCAGGGTCACCATACTACAATCTTACATAAGACACTATTATTAATTATCTTCATCCAATAGAACAATTTTCGTGCCACGTTAACAAAATTGTAATGTCGTTCACTCACACATATATAATACTTTTATATTTATTTGATTATATACAGTAAAATACTTAGAGAAATTATATCCAGTTAAACCACTTCTCATATTGGCATGGCACATGTTACATATCACTTTGTCAAATGTTTAACTTTATGGAGTTTCTTTTCATGTTGTATGCGTTTATTATCATATAGTTCGAATTTTATCTTGTGTGCATTACTCAGCAATAGAGAAATGCAATTATCTAATTACGTACGCAGTTACAAAAAATAATTCATTTATTTTATAATCATTAAGTATAATGTATTATAATATGAATTACAAGAATCATTGAACTTGATCTTATATATTGAAATAAAAGAGTCGAGTGTTGTAATCAATACCATTTTCAAAGATATATCTTTACGGTTACGGTTGCATTACAGATATGGTTACTGTAGAATAACCGGTTATTAGTTTTTTCTGTCATGAGTAATATTCCTTCATATTGCATGTAGGATTATTCTCGTTCGACGTATAATTGCATTAAAGTTTTTAGACTAGACCAATCCAATTTAATTTTAATTCGTAATATTTTGAATAAGTTTGATTTATACGTAATAGCATATAATATTACATTTTTTTTATTTATAATATTTTACAAAGTCTATTTTTTTGTAACTATTTGTTATTGACTTATTTATTCGTTATTGATTTACAAATTGCGTAAATCTACTAATAAAAAAATATTATATCAATTGTAACAACATCGAATATGATGAATGCATAATTTTAGAATGAATAATTTTGGAATTCATTTGATCTATATATTAATTTGATTCTTACACCGTACACACAGGTCCAATGTCGATCTTTTTATAGCGGCACGATGCACCTGTATAATACACAAGTTGAAAATCGAACATGTTAAATTTACACGGTCTAAAGCGTAAATATTATTTGTTTTAGGAGAATCAAACGTGTATACATTGGGTAATATCGGTGCTCATAGAATCGTTTGCACAAAATTGCCAACTGTGGGTCATACTCGAGAAGCTATGACTGCAGCAGGAAATACTACGACTAGATTATTAGGTAAGAATGATCAATAATTAAATACACACATTTGGAAATCATTGTTATATTTCTATTTTTAACCAGTACATTATTAAGAATAATTTGCGAAAAAAAAAGAATCTTCTCAATATTTATATCTAATACATATGTTCTCGTGAGCTAATTGTAAACTTTCTCGTGAAAAATAAACATTTTCTATAACGCGAATTCATAAAACGTTATACGGAAGTCTACTGTATACAAGATCGTATATTGTTCTAGATAGCTGGTAGTTCGATCAGTATAATAGCGGAAAAGTTAGCGATAAGATTATGCGAATGGTAAATAAAGTTCTTATCGCGTATGCATTGATTCTTCCTTTGGATCTATTATTAATTTAATTATACACATCACGTAAAGAATGATTATTCTGAACAGTAAATTTATTTAATATATACAATATCATAGAAATAATATATGGAATGCAATATCTTCATAGGAATATATTTTTTGTGCACGTAGGTACTTTCCAAAAAGTTGATTTCGTATTCCTGGTTGGTGTTGGCGGAGGTGTACCGCATTATACGGATTACAAGAAGCATGTGAGGCTTGGGGATGTGGTTGTTTCGCATCCAACTCCGATCAATAAAAAATATGTATACGTATATTGTGAAAGCGCGAAGATAAACGAGAAAGATAATTATCATTTCGAGACCAAAGAATACTGTCCACCTAATCTAGGTCTTCAAGAAATAGCTGTTAATTTGAGACAACAGGTAAGTTAATTAGCGCGTAATTCTCGCCATTAACAACGTGTTATTTAAACTTTGTTATGTATTTCAAGTCGGAAAACGAGATAAATCCTCCTTGGCAAGGGTATCTAAAGGAAGGTATAGAAAATTTAGGCAATCAAGCGGAACACGACTTCAAAGCACCACCCGCTGAATCCGATAAATTGTACATGGCTATTGGAGAAAGAGACGTGATCGAAGTTGCTCACCCTATTGCTCCTCAGGATGCGACGAACAAGAGGTATATTTATAAAATTGATTCTATTCTATATTTTTTTTTTTTTATATATTGACTCTTTAATTATTCAATCATGACGGTCATGTGTTCATTAGAATGGAGGGCTGTCCTCGAATCCATTTGGCACCAATCGCTTCGGGTCGGCAAATTGCAAGAGACGATCAACTTAGACAAAAATTTGCCACTCGATTTGGTGCACTTGCTTTCGATGCCGAAATGGATGCCGTAGTTGAAAGTATCCTTGGTAATTGTAGAGAGAGTTTTGCAGTAATACGAGGTATCTCCGATTACAAGGACGGCTCTCGTATCAAAGAGTGGCAACCTTACGCCTCATTGGCAGCTGCGAGCGTTATGAAGGCCGTTATTTGCGCTATGGATCCACCAACCAATGTCTAATTCTTATTCCTTTTCTATATACTGTGTGGATCGTTAGCCAAATTATTCGATATACGTCTCACGTAGCATCAAAATGCGATATGGACCAAATCATTTTCGTGATCTAACTGATACGTCAAATAATTTATTTGACGATAATACTAAGATCAGCACAAAGTGCATAAATAATAGTGATCGGCGAATACTTTTGTTCGTCATTTTTCACGAATATATATATACATATATACGTAGAAATCGTTATAAACGGGCCACCGGCAATCAATTCCATTTTCTACTTTTACTTCCGTTTCTATTCGTCAAATTTGTACGATGTAATAGTTTAACACAAGGTGATCTCCGATATAAATGAATATGTGAACAGATAGAAATGTTCTATTGATAAAATAAGATCGTAAACCATCTATTGGTTGCTGGTCAACCGTGCAATAAGACGAATGAAAGATACGTATAATTATCGCCTTCCGAAATGATTTTTTTATGTATTTTATAAAATGGTAATGTTTCTATATAGTGGAGAGTGCCATTCTTTCAGATATCTTTTTTTTTCAACCGGATATTGAGTTCCATTTCAATTTTATATCGTAACTTTTTTTCTACAAATATTGTTCGCAATATGCGATATTACAAATGTGACGATTATACTGACAATAACGGTTGATCTTCTATAAGCAAGATCATTCCTGTAATATTCCAATGAATTTTTTTTCTATTTACAATTAGAGCATCGTTCTTCGTTATTACCCCCCGTGCGCAAATGCACCGTTCATGTCAGTCGAAAACATTATATCAATGCGAACACCCATCAAAGTTATATCAATATCGATTTTAGTTATTTGATAGAAATGGTGCCATTGCTACTGTCCGACATTGTAGAATGCTTCTTATATAAAGCGATTATCTCGCAATCAGTTAGACAAGCATAAGTTGTTCCTTAAGTATTTCTTCAAGAGTAAAATTTTAATAGACTCATTTCACGATTAATGAACAGAAATTAGAATAAAAAAAAAGTATTAAATGTTAGGACTGAAAGAGAACCGAGTATAATACTCGACTTATTCACAGAATATTTCCGCTGTCGTATTTTCCATCTTAATATAGATATAGAAGAACGAATCAATCTCAACTCGAATTTACTCGATGAACGTAGCTAGGTTTAGATGTGATAGTCATCGCTATAAAAAAAAAAAAGAAAAAGAAAAAGAAAAATTTATTGCCATCGTTTGGTAATATTTCTCAAAATCCAATCAAATTAATCGTTGCAATATTAGGTACGTCTACGATCATTACATATTTACCAGAGTATATCAATGTTTTAAAAAGATCACATTTTATTCAGGAAGCTGCAAGAGTGTTAAAGATTACCTAACGTATATGAATACTTTTATATTGGTTTATCATTGTCGAGAAATTGATCGACCGAGAATAAAATCTCGATGTCTTCACTAATAATTACGGAACTTCGATAATATTGATAAGTGTGCCAATGTGTTCATACGTACGAAGTAAAATTAACTATCCTTGAAGAAATAACAAAATTCGATTTACACAAACATATCGTTTTTTTTTCTGAGAACGTATACGTTTCATTTAACGTTTAATAACAATTCTGATCAAATTTTATCGAATCCTTCCATTACGACACTTCCTAGCATTATTAATGCTTTATATATTCTAAAGCACAGGGTAGTAAGTAAGAACTAAATTATAAATCTATACAAAGATTGCATTCAAATATAAATCGGAATAACGTAGGAAAGTACTAGATATATAGATAGTATATATATATATATAACGTCTATTGTGTTAATAATGAAAGTCAAAAATTTTAATAGACAGATACATGTGATTTACTATCGAGAGTAAAAGTATTTATCATTTATAAAGTCTCTTAACTTATATAAGTGATAATTATATTTATTTATTTATTTATTAACACGAAAAAGTAACAATTATTGATTATTCAAAGTTATTTTCTTTCTCTTTAAATTGTATTTAAAACAAAAAAAAAACGAAGCGGCATCTATTATATCTGTCGTTTTGGCACAATATCAAAATATAATAGAAGGAATATTTCTAAAGATAAGAAAAGTGGACCGAAGAAGAGACGATTAAAAGTCACTTGTTGTGTAGGAGCACAATATTCAAATTCTATGAGCTATAGAGAGAGACTATCAACTTACACATATTATAATGATATAAAATTTAATATATTTATCTATATATACCGGCTGAACTAATAAAGATTATCACTTCAAATAATTCGGTCTCTATTGACTTTATTCAAAAATGTTAACAATTAAATTTATGAATCCGATCAAGTGATCATTTGATGTATTATATTCAATGAAACATCACAAGGTACTCTTTAATTTTTTAAATATAGTTGCATATTGTTTCAGTACTCTATTATAATAAATTGCAATTCTACAACCTATAATAAAAAGGTACTTAAATTACGAGTTATTTCATGTGATAATATTTATTGACTGACCTGGTATATATATTTATCGACGAGTTATATATCCTAGAGTAATGAATTCGATTTACCTGATGAAAGATTCCTATGTATGGCCTAACTTTAATTTTATGATTAAAATATTCCTTTTATTTTCTTTTTTGTTATTGCGTTAATAGAAAGTCTGATATATACATTTATTTGTGTAAGAATCAATTGCGGCGGTACACAGTGGTATATTACGAAATATATGATAAGGTTCTCGTAAATATTTTGCGTTTTCCATTGCTTCCATAGAAGTTACTTTTTCATACATTTATAATCGCGTGTAAGCGAAGAATAATATAAAAAGCTTTGCGTTTTTAGCTGTCCAATGTATTTGCATTCTTTTTTATAACGCGCTTTCAACGCTAGTCGCACTATTGTGTTTTTATTCGTTCATAATAATAAATTAATATTTTAATTACAGAGTAATAGAGAAAAATTCCTGGGTGAGGTTTAGTTAATAAGATTTTTATCATATAAATATATATATATATATATATAATTTCTTTGTATTATTATTTATTGAATAATAATATTTTACAATTTCTCTTTCTTTTTTTGTTTTTGCAGACATTTGTACTTTACAAAAGGAAACGTTTAATTTCGAATCGCGAAAATTTGAGTCAGTATCTTTGTAATAAAAAGAGATTTTATTATAAGCGTTTAAAAAATTTTTGATTGATGAATTTTTTTTCTATTATTTAAGAAAATATCGTTATCAATATTTGTCAAGCTTGAAATATTCATATACGTTCAAAATACGATGTAATTTCTATCTATATGCATTTAAGCGTATAAAGATATCGTTATCAAGGACAATTATATTCAACAGTTATATATGTAATTGTATCATATACAGTATTCTAATTATCGATATGCCTTCGATAATCATATGTATCGCCTTTTTGATAAAAATGATTACAGATCGATAATTAACAAATATTCAATAGATATTAATCGCATTATGAACACCGGTGTATTCTCAAATACACGTTAAAAAATCATAAAAAAATTTTGATTAATACATTTTCCTTGATGTAAAACCACATTCGTATTATTAATCATTCCCGTTTTGTGAAATAAACTGTTTTACGAGTCAAAACTTGACACTCTTTATATTAATTAAACAAGTGTCCTAGATTTTTATCTTCTTTTTCCATTCAATTTGTTCTCTATTATATTACTTAAACGTTACATGTTTAATATTTACAAGACTTAATAATTTCATATGAAAAACGATAAAGAAACGATACTATCTTGTAAAGAAAATTTAGATAAGAAAGTTAATATTTTTCCAGTGTCGTCACTTATCAACGTATAATTTTTCTTCTTCTAGTTTAGTAATTTTTCCTAATCCTTCTTCGTGTTTCAATATCTCTTTTTTTGCTTGCAAATTCAACATTTCACGTTCATTTAGTTCCTGCGGTTTCCCATATTGGTTCCACGGTTGTTCCTTGGATGTACCACCAATTAAATAAATTAGACAACCAGCTATCGCATTGGCACCAGCAATGAGGAATACGATAAACCATTGACCAACTGTTTGCTAAGAAGATAATATTATTTCTTTTAATAAATCGTAAATCGAAGGATACAAATTAAGATTAATCTGATATATGTTTGATATCTTAAATAAATAAAATAGAAATAAGTCTATATGAACGAGTTTAATGACGTTGTATATTTCAAAAAAAAGAATTCAAAATACTAATTGAAAGAATTTATATTATGTGATATTTACTTACGTTATTGTTAGTTAATAAACCAACAATCGCGGGTGAAATAAATCCTGCCCAAACAACAACCATTCCGCAAAATCCAAGTAATATACTTGCATAATTAGGACTTAAATCAACAAAACTTGCTAAAGTGGATGCTGAAACTGCCCCATTCACTGCTGTACCAGCCATCATAAAAATGACAGCTAAATATGGTTGACAACCGCTGTAGCCTAATGCGATTATGAATATACCTTGTAAACCATTACACACAAATGTTGCTAATTTTCTTACGTTAGTTAAACTCATTCTTTCAGTTCGTAGAAGCCAATCGCTCATAATCGAATAGAAATAAGAAAAGATCATTCTTAGAATGTGAGGTGCACCGGATAGAATACCAGTCTGGAAATAATATATACAGATGTATACAGATACAGTAAGACCTCGATTTAACCGGTTCACGTTTATCCGATATTTCGATTAATCCGAGGTCTTGTTTATTAGAATCACGGTTATCCGTTCTATTTGTTAATACATTTTTTAATCGATCATTTTTCTGTCTTCTGTTTGTTAACAAACGATAAGTACAGTGGGACCTAATTTATCCATTTATCTTGCGATCATGCTGGTTAATCAAAGTCCTATTGTATATTATATTTTCGGTATAAAATTTGAAAAAAAAAACCAATCATCGAAATCTATCACAACGTCAATATCAAGGAAATTGATTTTATCAAATCAAATTTGCATGTAAAATATGTACATTAGTATTGCATAAGATTGTAAGATCGTATTTCAATAGAATGTCATACTACAGATAACGGGTCTGTAATATGATAGTTACTTTTTTACGTATGTAAATAGACTTAATGATAAGTCTAATATGTCATTTGATTAAATAAAGTTAAAAGGTCCTAAGATAGAAATTTTGATTTCAATGAAACTTTGCGAGGATGTAAACTGAATAGGGCAATTCAAGTTATGCGTATCATTCTGTTTAATTAATTTAATAAGTAACTTCATCCTCTTTAATATATTTCATTAATATCAAGTAAAAAATATCTTCCTTTGTATGAAATTCAGATTCGAAAAGTAATAAAACGTTGTAGCATTACTAGAAAACATTTCTTAAGTTTATAGAAGGAATATATGTATTCGATTTAATTGAATTGATTTTCTTACCGCGTGAATATTCCATCCGTGAATAAAATTAAAGTATGTAGGAGCTTGTGTCATTAAAGTAAGGAAACCCCAAGCTCCACCCCATTGAGTCAAAACAGTAATCCATACCGGTCCCGAAGTAAAAATCTCTTTCCAAGGTACCTTCGTTTCTTTGTCATCGACGGATCCCGAAATATTTTCAAGTATGTAATTTTTTTCATCCTCGGATATACGTGGATGTATTTGCGGTGAATCGTACACGAAGAAAAACCAGAAACAGTACCTTCATGTAAGAAAAGATTATTATAAAAGAAATTAATCAAAAGTACACACACACACACATAATTTGAGGGTATTTCGTAACAAACTTCTATTAGAAAATATTTGTAAATCTGTTAAAATGTTCATATATATTTGCCGTGTCATGTTATAACAATTTATCATTGACCTATATTGTTTTCTAACGAGAAAATATTTTAACGTTAAAACGTAAGAAATATAATCAATCTTCTTACGTAACTTATATCGTTAACATTTCATATTCTTTTATTTTGGTAGAGAGAAAGATCACAAGACTAAGTATTATTTTCCTTTGACATACGGAACTTTTTATAGTTCATATAAAACTAAGTATATATGATTAATTTATTCTTATGTATATTTACCAAATTACTCCGAGAACAGAAGTGACATGAAATGCGGCTTCCCATCCAAATGCATTGGCAACTGTTGCACAAAGTGGATAAGTGATAGCAGCCCCCACAGAACTACCTTTGAAAAATGGAAATATGAACGATTTTTTGAAAATTTTGATTTAATATATTGAAAGGAAAACAAGTTAATATAATTTGACAATAAATTTTACCTAAATATGCACTAACGAATCTACTTCTTTCGGACGACGGTATCCATTTGGCTGTCATGTCATGCATGCTAGGCCAAACAACACCCTAAATAAGATTTTCATTGTAATTAATTATTCTTTGATGGATCAATTTTCTTTATTGAATTCAACCTACCGCAGCGAAACCTTGAAGAACTCGAATAAATACGAGAGCGTTTAAATGATATCGTGTCGCGAAGGGTATGAGAAATCCTAAAAGGGCTGTCAAAAAATTGGCAAATCCAAAAACGAATTTTGTACCGTAACGTCTTGCCAAAATACCACCAGGAAGTTGAGAGATCCAATGAAACCAATAATAAGCACCTAGTGCAAGTCCTTGATCGTATTCGCTCCAAGTAAATCGATCGTTATACTAGTAAATATAACATAATCAAAAGATATTAAAAAAAGAAATTCTATCTTGATTGTTATATTGAAGTTATAAAGGTAAATTAGTAATTACCGTTATATTTTCAAAAACTAATTCTTGTTCATTGACATCTAGAGAATTATCAATACTTTCATTAAATGTTGTATTCTTCCATAAAATATTAGTAGCATTATCTACCTCGCATTCTACGGACGTGGCTGCTTGCGGTCTTGGTACAACCATAGCCACTATAGTCAGATTCAGATTGATCCTTAGCATATAATTAATAGCAAATCCACAAAAAACAAAGTACCATAGAACATCTCGGCACGTAATGAATTCCTTTTCTTAAATAAAGAAGAGAGAAAAAGATTTATTTTAATTTTTTTTTATTTTTACATTGTAGCACAACGTAAATAAAAATAATAATATATTTAACATATTTGCATAAGGGAAAAGATAAATAAAAAATCAAACTTTTTTTTAACGAGAACGAAATCTTTCTTGGAAGATAAAATTATTCTGTAGGAAATAGAATCTTATGAGAATAGGAAAATAAATCAAATGGATGCATCTTTTTATCTCGACACAAATCATCGCAAGTAGTATCTTTATGATCGTGATATTATATTTACAGGAAGTTATTAATTAATTCGAATAAAATCAAATTATTTCTAATCAAACGTACTGATGTGTTAACTCTATTACGAATAATTGTCGTTACTGTTCATTATTTGTAAAAATAATTTACAAAAATAATAATATGATGATGTATGCATACGCTGCGCTGTTATATTATTATCTTTGAAAAATAATTTAAACAATGTAGTAGCAAGAACCAGTCGTAGGTCATTCTCCTCACGTGATGACAATGGAATTTTTCAATTTTGATATAGAGTGATTCGCCCTCAAGGTAGCGGATAATGTGTATAATCAAGGATGAATGTCAATGATTCCATTGACAGAATTAAACTGAAAGAGGCTGACGCGATATCAAGCAAGTACCCTAATCTACAGCAGAGGTGGCCAACACGTTGATCGTTAATTGTAAGCGATTTTTGATTTAATCTTACTAGCCGAAAAATTTGACGTAAGATTTTTCGGAATAACGTTAATCGAGAGAAAAAAGTATACGAATATCGTCAAATTATAACGAATATATTTACTCTTGTTTTAAATTTACGTACACACTTATGTCAATCGGCTGTTTAATATTTAAAGTTTACGAAGATTAAGGCAACGTTTTTTATTTACTTATTAACATATTGAAAATTAATCTGAATACACGAATCAAATTATGAACGATTGGTTGGATACAGCAAGTCTGGACGCAGACTTCCCGTTAATTATATTACTAACAAAAAATAAAATCTAATCTGTATTTTTTTTACGATTATTTCTTAATTTTAAAATTGTTAATAAAATATCATATTGATTTAATTATCCTCGTTCTCTACATTATCACTTGTAAGTACACAAGACACGCGTTCAAATGTGTTAAATGTCAAGATTTTATATAGTTAGATAGGTAAATCGTGACACATTTTTACGACAAAAATTCGATCACACGTAAAATAAAGTTGGCCACCCCTGATCTAAAGTACATATATAAATCGGATGAGTCCAACATTTCTCGTAATGCTTCATGAAATTTATAGTTGCATTTGAAAAATCTAATAACTACTATAGTTAACTCGTTTTTTCCCTATAATAAAAAATCAACCTGATGTTTTTCGATACCCATATAGTATGTTTATTAAAGGGTAAAACAAAAAACAACAAAATATTCTTTTTTACATATGTACTCCAAAATTTGTTCTTAAATAACGAATTTAATTATCTCGAAATAACTGGGATTTGTATTTTCCGATAATATATTGCCGACTATGATGATAACATCATCTTTCAATATCAAATAAAATATTTAACTCATTGTTAATTAAATTAATTATGTTTTAATCAGAATTTGCCAAAAAATAAGATTACTCTGCAATTTCATGATCAGTCACTGCATAAACTGTGAAATATAAAGTTGTATGTAAATAGTAATAATAATAATAATAATATATATTATAAAATTATTATAAAATATTCTAAAGTCTTCTATTGCTAAATAGTTTTTCATAATAAGACATATAAAATATCTTGATTACTTTTCATGAAGAGATAAAGATACAAACGCTCCTTTTTACTTACTGCCACTCATTTTTATATCGAATATTGATTAAACGTTCTCAAGGATTGGTTTCTTGATATTGATGAAATACGATGTAATTCACTTTATGCGGAAATCAATTTAAACGCTGAAAACAGTGCCTTCTTTACTTCACTATTTCTTTACGAACAAATATATATATATATAAGTATATGCTTTTGTTTTTTTCTTTTTCTTTTTTTAAAACATAATGCATTCACGTATAAGTAGTCATCTTTCAAAAAGAAAATTATAATCGTCAAGTTGCTGAGATATGTTCTTTTTTTATTATAATCCTTTAAATATGTCGATCGAGAAATTTAGGAATTCCTTTTTATTTTCTAGTCTTCTTATTCGTGAATGAATGTTAATCAGACAGTATCACGACTAACACTGCCCGACTGTTCTTCTCAAATACGAGCATGAGCAGACCTTAGGAATCCTTCGTGCGATTCTCCTGCCACCAAGAAATCACGAGTGATAAGACTAATTAAGTATTAACATTCACATTTCTACCACCACTGAATTAATTTTTTAATCTCAATAATAATTTTTATCTTACGATGATTTATCTCTTTGAAGTTGTTCTTTGAAAACAATTCTATTGCTTAAAAATGGAAATGAGATCGGTGAAAGCATTGAACAAACAAACAATATAATTACACTTTTTCAATGATCTGTGTGCATTTAAAATGATAAACATTGATAAGTTTTAGATAAATAACGGATACTTAAATGGATAAGTAGTTAAAGAGATCATGCATTCCAATTTTTAGGTATGATGATAATATGTTATAATTGCACCTTTAATTTTTACAAGATTCTAAATAGACATAATTTATGACAACAATATAAGAAAATACAACGGAAGTATAAACCATAGTTTGTTATATATTTTTGTCTTATTAACATTTTACATGATGTTCTTCAATTGAAAAGGTATTATGATATATTTAGTAAAGCATAGAATTGTTAGGTTTAAGCAATTCTTTTTTTGTGCTGTAACGCATTGGCTTTGGATACGCAGGACACTTTTGACTCCTTTTTTACGATATTCTTTGTAACAATTACATGACGTTTTTACAATTTTATTTTATATTTGATATTTAGTCGAATATTTGTCTAACTTTAGAACAAAATGGTAAACGGAGAATTTGACTGACGCTCAAATTAAAAATAAGTAAACGTATTTTATTTTGTTCTGAAATATAATCATGTCAATATTTTTAGAACGACACACACACAGTTTCATTTTAATTTTTACAATTATATTAAATAAATTATTTAATTTCTATTAAGCATACAATTTTAAATTGAATCTTATTGAAAAATTTCTATAGAAGTAGATTTAAAGTCACGTGATTAGTGAATATCCAATCAAATTATAGTCTACCATTTTACCTCCTTCTGCGCAGTATCAAGAAGTATCAGCGCGTATTTAAGCATACAAAGCTCGTCATTATGCTCGTCATATTCATTTTTCTGTAATATTAATTTACATATAAATCAAGTTCGTATATAATAATTTTTTAATTTTTTTTATAGCTTTTTGAATAATCATATTAGTAAAAAAAAAGCAAATGAATTAAATCACCAATAACCGTGAATGTAGATAAAATAAATTCTCAAATAAATAATCGATTATCGATCAATGATATATTATTTAATTTGTAGAAAATCTTAGCATTACTTTTATATTAATTTACCATATATATTATTAAAACAAGAGTATATAGCAATTTCCATGTGATTGAAAGTTGGGCCATCAATATCTTGTGTAATATAGTTTATTATATAATAGTAATGCAATGTAAATTAGATACCTACTGTTGAACATGTCAATAAACTGTCGGTAATATAGCATGCATCTTGAAAATGATAAAAGGGAATCTTCTACATTTAAATGAAATAAGACCAAGCTTCATATACAAGATTGACATGTTTTTATTTTACAAATATATTCTTATTAAAATACATATATTATTTGAAGGAAAAAAAATAAAAATCATGATTCTTTCTAATCAGCGTGAAATAATTTTTATTTTATACACTAAGAACTGCAGTGTTCATGTCAGTCTATTCATGATATAGTTACCATAATATCATGTACTTATTATTAATTAATAAATTAATTAATTAATATTGCCGATAAATATTATAATAAAGGCTCCTTCAAGTAACATCTTTCTAAGTTAATATGTACATTTTGATAAAGATATATTATGCAAGTGGAAAATACAAGCAAGAAACAGAGTAATAATGCATCAGGAACATAGCTTATCATTGACTCCAATAAAAATTCATACATACAAATCCCCCCCCCCTCGTAGAATTTATAGAATATTTAATAAAATCATCATCGCGTTATCAATTTTTGAATTTTATTTCATGTATACGAACTTTCCCCTTCTTCGATTACCGTGTCATCACATTTGCTCTGCACATTTGATGATTTTTTAATCTACTTTCAACTTGTTGAAAGAAATTTTTGTTTAGCTTAAATTCGTTTTCTCATTTTGCTTTATTGATTGTGTTTAAACATTTCATACAAATACTACTAGTACTACTTAATCATATTGTGTAATAGCAGATAAGCATGTCGCGAAGAGAGTGTTTCACAATAATTTAATATTCGAAAGATTTTGATACAATTTTTGTGTAAGGAATAAGTTCAATATCAAAAATTTGTATAAGTTTAACTATGCCTTTATATTAAGTTGTAACAATCTCTAACATTATTTAATTAATTAAAAATATTTATAATACAAAAGAAGTTTATTTCATTATTTAGTTATAAATATCATTTGGTCAAAAGTGATAAACAGAAAAGTTTTTTGTTTTCGCGATTCCCCTGAACGCATATCTCAATTTGTATACCAACGAATCTGACATACATAGTTCATGACTTTATAATGGACCTATAAATCATTTTGAAAGTAAGATAACAAGGTGAATGTTGACTATTGAAATCCACGAATAAAGATATTTATAGTAACAGGTCAGTATGTATTTTTTTTCTAATGATTTCGTATTTCTTTCCAAATACTATATGATAAAGTTCTACGAACATAATAACTTCTATATTATTTTGCGTCATTCGAAGAGAGGTAATGGAAAAACAACAAATCGAATAAAAATGATCTGAAAAACAATGAGAACAGAATAAAAATTTGAAAAATACATGACGTGGAACGATTCGAAACGAAAATTTGTCTAAGATAGAAAATGATGAAAACACATCGTCATTAATGAGATAATCATTAATAGAAGTATATTATGTATTGTTTTATCGAACTTGGAATAATCAATGTGCACAACGCATTTCAAAATTCATTGAATAACAATAAAAGTTAATATTCAGCGTTTTCTTTTCTTGAACAATAACATTATTATTCAATATACCATATATATATTTTTATATTATCGTTATTTAACGACTTATTGTATTATCGTCTAGCGCGTGATTAATATGAAACACGTGTGACAAATAACGAAGTATCATAATGGAAAGAAAAAATATGGGTATGTTCTGAAGTTTACAAAGGATACTTCTAAAAACGGTAATACGAAATTAAATAAAAAGAGATAGATAAAAACGCAAACCTTGCAACGGATTTATTCGTTTCGTCGCCTTGAATGTAAATTTTCTCCAATAATTCTAAGGCTAATAATAAAAATGCAAGGTTTTCGAATATACTCAGGAATGAAACGAAAAGAAAAAAAAGATAAATAAAGATGAATACAAAAAAAAGAAAAGAGGCACATGCTTATAACTCATAGTCAAGGAGTTGTTACGTATATAATCAGCGTGAGTATAAATCACGCGTACAACGAATTTCCATGATGCAATCATGCGTACGACAAACGAACTGGGTTCAAGTAAATCGAGCTGGTTTACCCACGCAAAATAAAAGAGATCGATCGTGAAACTCTCATTAAAGTCGACATCGTTTCATGGCTCATATAGCTTTTAACCAGGAAGTAATTATCATAATCAAAGTCTCGATTAAAGTGAAAAAATATGTTATCCCATAGCAATTTTCTTTCCTCTGTCGTAACTCGTTGAAAGGAAATGGTGCTAGTTTTCTCTTACCGCATTAGAAAATGTTGGCCAATACAAATGATTACCTTCTTTGGAATATTATAATGTTTTTATGTGCTTGTGTGTGTGTGTGTGTTTTTTAACGTTTATTTAGAAAAATTCCTCGTGTACAATGGTTGAATTAATTTAAATTATCTTTTCTTAATTAGTCAACAAAAATACGATAAGTAGGAAAAGAAGCGTACCAATGAAAAAATATGTAATATTATCAATGATTACAATGTATCGTCAGAAAAATACGCATAAATTTATTGGAAATGACGAATGCTGTGAAACAAATTTATTTCATTCATAAATATATATATATACATAATTTTACTTCCCTAAACAAAGATTCGTTTACTTTATATTTACTAACAAGTTTACATTTTTCTACTTATTTACACGGTTTCGAATATTTCGTCAGAATATAAATTTTTCAACGACGATTATGAAAGTGTATGTCTATAAAGAAATCTTTTCCACATTTACATAAGCCTTTGATCGGAGGGGCAAGTGGAGAGGCGAGCGAGAGACATTATTGCAATACGCGTTTGAGTTTCGTGTGAACAGTCTTAATACAGCCTCTGCTTGAAACAGTTCAAAACTAAATCGTCGTCAGTGGTTAGCATAACTTGGCTTGTGATATTATTACAAGATTCCTTCGTAAATCTTCTTCGTGCCGGAGCATACTTATGAATTATTTTGTTATACGAAAAAAACGATATTTAACGAAAATATTATCAAATAGTATTTAAAACGTCGTTATTTTACAATTAGATTGATTTTAACATTTGTTTTTAACAACCTTAATCATCGTCCCATCTTCAAAAATATATCACCTATAAATACTATAAAAAATTCATCTTAGTAGGTAGAAATATCAACGAGTTAGTTAAGTGTACGTGAAATTATTCGATGTTTCATTTTTTATCATAATATTATTGCCATTCAAAAATATTTCTTGAATAATTGATAATAAATATAATATATATATCTATATATATATATATATATATATATATATATATTACAATAGGAGAAAATATGCCGAGCAGTAAAACAAGAGTCGCTATTATCGGTGGTGGTGTTGCCGGTTTGATCGTGGCTCGTCACGTAGCATCAAAACCCGACACCTATAGTCTAACCCTTTTCGAGCAAACTGATCAAGTGGGTGGAACATGGGTTTATACAGATGAGACTGATCTCGACAAACATGGATTACCGGTGCACAGCAGCATGTACAAGAATCTCAGGTTTGCTTTCGATAATATTTTACATTAATTATTGTATATTATAAAAGTTATTATTATTTCAGCTATCCCATCACTACGTTTTTTTATTTATCTATATATATATATATATATATATATATATATTCTCAACTTTAATATGAAAATATTTTATTTGTTCATTCATTAGAATTTGAAGATCAACGAATGTTTTAAAGATATTTTATTTTTTCGTAACATTTGTTTTTCATTTCAATCTACTAATATCTTTATCATAAAATATTTTCTTGTAAAAAGTTTTCCTTTCAAAATGTTAGTAACGACGATTTATCGTTAATAGTTACTGTCGTTCAATTATCATCATTTTTGTTTTTCTTTTTTTTTTTCTCTTAACTTAAAAAGATCGTTTGAAAAAGTTCCCGCGTTCTTACATTAACAGATATACGCATTTTGTGACGGTTGTTTAAAGATTACGAGGAAAGAATGATAAACTACATTGACATGTGATACATTTTTCGACTCATTAACGAGATCATTATAATATGTTATTCCGGAAAATAGGAGATACATGTCTCGATGTGATAAGTTTTATTGTCGCTATCGATTTAATTACGAGAGCACGCGCTTCCTCTGAATGATAAGCTTAAAGTTATAATATATAACGATAGGGATATAGTTCGTAGGGCAGAAAGAGAGAGAGAGAGAAAATACATAAATAAGGGAATGAAAAAAAAAAAGCGGGATCGATAAGAAAAATTCAAATATTTTTGCATAGGACGAACCTTCCTAAGGAGATTATGCAGATACCAGATTTTCCAATGAAAGATCCGAACGGTCCGTCTTTCGTTCACCATAAAGTGATACGTCAATATTTATGGGATTACGCAGAACATTTTAATCTCTATTCCCACATAAAGGTACTTGTGAGAATAGGAATGTTAAGAAAAAAAGAAAACGATATATATATATGTATATCACGTTAATAAATCAATTCAAAAGATTCAATGAACGACAAATCAATTTTCTCTAATTTATATATAATTATTTTTTTTAGTGCCCAGTAATTGGTTTTTCATTTTAGTTGAATACCGTGGTTAAACACGTAGAACCGGAAACGTTGAGGAATGGTCAAACGATCTGGATCATCAAGTATGAAGATTTGGAAAACAAACTCGAGAGCATTAAGACGTTTGACGTCGTTGTTTTATGCAACGGTCATTATACGGTCGGTCATGTTCCGTATATTCCAGGAATCGAAAGTTTTCACGGTTCGTGTATTCACAGCCATCAATATCGAATACCTGAAGCCTATGCCGGGAAAAAGGTATGCGTTTTAGGTGCATCATGGTCCGGAATTGATATTGCTCTTGAAATATCACAATATGCTGAACAGGTAGAATGAATTTTTGTTCACTTTAAATATATTTTATTTTCTTATATAAAAATATCATAGGGCATCCTTTATCTTTTATTATAATTAGGTTTACTTAAGTCATAACTTACCGAAACCGATAGGTTCAAAATTAACGAAAATTATTAATGAAAAACCAGGAATTGAATCTATTCAAGGAAATATTTTTACTTTCCTCGATGGAACTACTGCTACAGTAGACATGTTCATATATTGCACAGGTAATAATAAACTCTTTTAAATATTACAATTATATTTACGTATATTATTTTTCGTATCGAATGTTTTTTTTATTTTTTTATGCGAATTTTATTGTTTCAGGTTATAAGTTCACGTATCCCTTTATGTCATCTAAAGTTGAGATATGTACTGACGATAATCATGTTGAACCTATTTATAAACATTTGGTACACATTACCATGCCTAATTTATTTTTCATGGGAATTCCTGGATTAGTTATTCCCTTTCCAATGTTCCACATCCAAGCGCAATATATTGTTGGAATTTTGGAGGGTCGTATAAAGTTACCTTCTTCCAAAGAGATGCTGGAAGATTTCGAAAGGGAAAAGAATGCTTTACTGCAACAAGGAGTTCCTGTAAGATTGTTTGTTTAATTAATTTTCAATCGAGCATTTGTTTTAAAAATTCATAAAAAATAAATCTAACAATTCATATACGTTACATATAAACATTACATCTCGTATATTTTAATTAAGGTATTTTTTCTTAAATCGAACATTTTTTTGTTAACAGTTAAGACATATCGTAAAGCTCAAGGAAAGACAATGGGCATATTATGACGAAATCGCAGCCGCTGCAAATGTATCGAGCTTTCCTCCAGTTATTAAGAAGATTTTCGATCACTCGTCTGAAATGCGTGAGATCGATTTTACCACTTATAAAAATCATCAATATCGCATAATCGATGATGAAAATTTTACTGTTTCTTGTTGTAAGCCTTGTTAGGGTTTACGCGAAAAGATAAAAGATACATGAAATTTTATTTTATAATAGTGAAAGCGGACCATAACATACTTTGGTACTAGTTCACTGCTCGTACGTTTGTCGACCAATGGTCAGAATGTATTTCTTTTAATTTCTTAGACCTTGACGACTTATGTTTCATTACTATCGGTCGTACTTCGTCCGAAAAACGGATTACAAAATATTACGTTAAATGTATAAGATCACAACAAATTATGGCATTTATCAAGTTGCTTTATTATTTAGTTCGTAAGGGTTCAATGCATTGACGTAATATGATCTACAATATACGATTAAGAAGATACTTTCCTGATGTAAAAATGATTGTAGAAAGAGAAAGTAAATGTTATTGTGAGTGTATATTTTTGCTGATAATGTGTTACTACTATAATTAACGACGAGAGATATATACTCGAAATAAAGGACTATTATCATGCTATACTAAATTAAATTCTTGACACTCCAATTATTTATTATCAAAAAAAAAAACGTCTGTTCTCGTAATTTATATTACTTCACCGTTCATATTTAAAGCCAATGGTATTGACTCGACTTTTAGAAATGTTTATTATCAAACCACTTGTGTGTGTGTGTGATTAATGCTTAACTTTTTATATTTAAAATAAATTTCCTTAATAATTAGATTCGGCACAATTAAATGAGAACAATTTTTATGGGTGTTCAATAATAAATAGTACCACAATATATATATATATATATATATATATTTATATATAATAATAATACTATAATAACATATAATATATAATTTATCAATTTTCTCTATTTTTAGTGTTTTGCGAATTTAATCGTTCATTTTTAATATTTTTTTCCGTTTGAATAATGCGCGCGTAGTGATCGCAGCGCCACCATCGTCGTCATAACAACACACTATTGGTACAAACAATTCGTAGTGTTACGGCTCGTATATGTAGTGATAAAGAAAGTGATTTTAATTTTGTTGATATTAATTAATTATTATTTGCAAATGGAAAAAACCGATATTTCGGAAAATCTGGATATTCCGGAAAATAACAAGACAGAAAAATTAACTGACAATGCAGAATATCAGAAGAACCTGAATGTGGAATTATTAGACGGTGAAAATGATTCATCGGAACCAGTATATCGAATTCGTCCGCATCTTTATGATAAGTAATATATATTTTTTATGTATTTTTATATTTTTTAAGTAGTTTTATATTTTTTATAAGTACCATAATACTTTTCTTCATAATCTTATGCGAATGTTAATTTTCGAAATTTGGTTATGTCATCCAAAGCAAATTTATTTGAGGTATATATTATGTCCTATGTAAACAATTTCTATTCACAGGTAATATGTATATTATATTTGTATTTTTTTCTTTTTATTTTTTTTATCAAGGTTTAAGCCATTAAGTGCTAAAGAAGTGATACACAATGTATTGTTCGATCAGCTTTCTACAAAAACATACGATGCACAGGATGCCATTCAATGGACTAAGAATATAGCAGATATACTTAAAGTAAAAATTAAAGGTGATAGGAGTTCTATGAATTTTATTATTAGTTTTTACAAAAATTAGTTGAAAATAGTCTATTTCTTTTTTTTTTTTTTTATTATAGAATTACAATTTAAGCGTTATAAGTATGTCGTAAATGTGGTCTTGGGGGAACAACACGGGGCTGGTATAAAAATGGGGACGAGATGTATCTGGGATGCAGAGGCAGATGCATATGCTTTCGACAGTTTTATAAATGTAAGAACAGCAAATTCTTGTTAGATAACTTATTAAACGTTCAAGAAAATTTATACAACATTTTTGCAGGATACAATATTCTGCGTAGCTACTGTTTATGCTGTATATTTTTATTAAAATGAGTATAAAACATAAGGTGGAAATGCGTTGATTATAAGAATTCAATATAAGCTTAGACGTTCACAATATAAGAGGAGAAATGATTATATGATATTTTAGAAACGACATGTAATTTATTAAAGTGCAATTTATTATTACTATACACAGGACGCATGCAAAACATGGCACAGTTTTTATATACAATAGTGAGTTGCGATTATCTTTATTATTTTGCACTGCTTATCAATATTTTATCTATAGACGTAATGAAAAATTACGTAAAATAAAATTATTATAGCACCATAATTCACGGCATTGCACTATGGTTAAAAAGTTTCTTACGTACTAATTGTTAAAATTATAGAATGAGATTCTACAAATCTAAAGTATATGAATTACAAAAATTAGTTAAGCCCACAAAATTTATTTTATGATATGATTTTCTTACGTATACGTCAACCCATATATTTATTTGTCCTTCGTGATTGCTTTACAGTAGTACAAATCATATGTGCGTGTTCTTAAGCTCATAATCGTAGATTAAAATCTAATTTCTTTATATATAGATAATAATGTATGTTACTTTTTGAAGTAACTAAGAGAGCGTATTAAACTTGTTTTAAGCAAACAATTTGTACAAAGATTAAAATCAATGAACATAAAACAATATCTTCATATATATAGCACGGAGCTAATAAGTCGATCAGCTATATACTAAAGTAAATACTTTGTATTTTATATATTATTATATCAAATATGATATTGTAAGAAAGTATAAGAGACTTATAATTATTAATATGATAGTATATCTATATAATGGAAATAGAAATAAATAATTTATGATTATCTAATGACAGATGAGAGAAAATATACTTGTATATTAACACTTTGACGTCCGCACATATGACTAAGATTCTTTTGTCTAATAGTTTTCATGCGACATCAATGTAGTGTTTTCGGACGGCATAGTGTTAAGAGAGAATCAAATTTCATTTCTCAATACAAATAATCATGGAATCTATTAATTAACTATTGAATTGCCAATGTATTTTATTCCTATTAATATTATTAGATATTAAAAATATTGGCAAGAAGAAAAAAATATAATCTACTTAATCATATACCATAAAGCCTTGACTTGATATTTGGACATATAGTGGAAGACGTAGATAATGATAATATCTCTTTCGTTTTGTTAACATATCTTACCAATACAGTTACTTTTCAACTAAATTACATAATCACACATGGTAAGGCACAACAGAGTGGTAAGCAAACTGGTACAACTGCTGCCCCACTAGAAGATTTACTTTTACTCTTGCTAGATGCTTCATATTCGTATTTCGCACTTCCTTTTTGCCATCCTCCCTAAGAAATTAAAATAAAGATACTTAGATTGATTGGGAAAAATATAAAATTAAAAAGTATTTTAGTATGATTGTGTATTATGAAATTCATAAAGAGAATGATACTTACACTAGATTGTGACATAGCTGCACCATATTCTTCTTTCTTAGTAAACTCAGCTGAACCAGGAGGGTAATATACTGGAGGTCCAGCAACATTCTTGCTCTTCACCTTAGGAGGAGTATGAGGCAGAAAGTCAACTTCCTTCTTTACGGCCGGTGAGTCTTTCTTTTGTTGTTCTTTTTCTTTCTTTTCGATGTTTTCCAATATCTCACGCTATAATGTCAAATTAATAATAATAAATATAATAAATCGATCGGTAATGATTAACATCAATTAAGTTCCTATTAATTGGTATAACGTTTTTTACTTGTACGTTACCTCAGAATCAGAAAACGATGCCATAAGATCTTCGAGTCTTGCTGGAGGTCCCTGCTGATCGGTACTAGGTCCTGAAGGTTTCGCATTAACAGGATAAACTTGTACACCTTCTCCTGTTGGGAAAGGCTTAGGTAGAAGTACCTCGTGATCTTCGGGATTTTTACTTGGAGGTATTGTCGTTGTAGTATTGGAGAATTTATAAACGGTAGTGCTACCAGGTGGAGTTCCTTGAGAAGGTACTGGATAATAGTTCGTTCTTGTTGGGGTTCCTGGTTTATCTGGCGTTGGATATCGTCCAGCAGAAGGTGGCCTGCTCGGATAGTGTTCCTCGATTCGATTTATCGTTGTCATGTGAGTTTCATTTATTACAGGCGGTTGATTTTGATAAACAATAGTAGTATTGCCGGGATAATCTGGTCTATCAGACGGCGGTGGAGCTTGTCCATTAGGAAAATTACCATCTACGTGATAATATTTCTCATTTCTAGTAACAGTCGTTCTAGAATCGATATTTGTCTGAGGTGGCGGTGGTGGAGAACCTGGATGATAATTCTGCGGAGGTGTACCACCTGACGAAGGTGGCAAACCATGATGATCCTCGCGATAAAATTTGGTCTCCTTGTGAAGTGCTGTTGATTTTTTGGTCACTTCTATAGGCGGTGGTGGGGTACTGTATTTAATCGGACTACCCGACCCACCCGGTATATTCTCGGTTACAGTCTGATAGGTGACCGTTTTGTCTGTGGTTGAAGTACCAGTTCTGGGCAGAGTATAGGTAATAGTCTGATCTCCTGGAAGGACAGCCCCTCCTGGCAAAGTGCCACCCGGTAGATACGTCTCTGGTGCTCCTGGCAACTCGTAGGTGTACGTTTTTATGGTTGTCGTTACTTTCGTATTGGGACCGGGTGCCAAGTTGATCGGTATCGCTGGTGTTGGCGACGGTACTGGGACGTATTCCACGTTTCCGTATTCTTGGCCGGTATTCGTGTGCACAGTAGTTACCGTGCTTTGAATGGGACGTGGTTCGGTCTGATAACCTAAGATATTAAACGATTATTGCCTCAAATTTGCGCCAAGATTATTAAAGAATGAATAAAGAATGAACGTGATCTAACTAAGCTTTCAATTTAGTTTTTTCTTTTTTTTTTGAATGGTTTGACTTAATTGCCAATTGAGTTTTTATATCTTTTAGATCGTTAAAGTTGATCCTTTTTTGTACTTTAGTAATAGAGAAAGGTCTTAGATGTTAACCAGCACTTTTCTCAATTGTTGAAACGTTTCTAATAAAATTTATTATTAGTATTATTAACTATGAGAAGAAATTATGTTTTCGTCGTTTTAAATATTAGAATGATAATAAAACTTAATGATTTACATACTAGATGAATCGTGTATATATTTTACATCTCGATATTGAGTTCCTGGAGGAGGTGAAGTTTGCATAGTACGAGATGCCGGAGTATCGGAGAATACCTAAAATATTAAAAATATAGAATATTATGAACAAATTAGTTACTATATAAATTACTTGTGTAATTATAATACTTACTAGCTCTCTGTTAACCGTAGATTTTTTAACTACAGGTTCAGGACTACGATGTCGCGTTTGCGTTTTGTTTTCTTCGTAGGTAGTCTCATGAATATTATCACTGGAAACATTTTTATGTTGTTATATATATATATTTTGTATTTTTATGAAATATTATTTTCCATGACATAATGATTAAACTTACATCATTGGTGTAACATTATTCATTATCGCGTTATCTGCCATTGCCCATGAGTCTGTAAATTGAAATTATATTAACGTCTCAAAATCGAGACATTAAGGATTTATAAAATGCTTATTTGGTAAGCATAACCTTCCATAACTCAACAGGCCACTTCTCTCTCACGGTCATCATTTTCTCTTTCTTTCTTTATTTCTTTCAAACGAGGAGTAGGAGGAGGAGAAGGAGCCATGGAAAAATTGGGTCAGCGTTCAGCTATACGCGATCCTAATATGGATAGGCTTGGGTATCGTATACATGTAAGCGTTATTGCAAGGGAAACGCCAGCGATCTCCAGTTATCTCGATTCAACCGAACACCGTGAAAAGTATCTTTCTATTTAACGGCACGTTTTATTTTATCATTATTTGCGATCTCTGTTTCATGCAAAAAAATAAAAAGAAAATAAGAAAACCCTACGCTATTAATTGAGACGTTAGATATCGCACGTGTTTTTTATTTCGTTATATATTTTTCAATTCAATTTATATGTACTTATTTATTTATAACAGACTCTCTTCGCGTACAAATTTGTAGATAAACAAAAGTAAAGAAACGTCATAGCGCGATACGTTACATTTGTATGCTTCCTTGTTATTTTATTTTATATTTTTTTCTTATAAATTATCGAATAAAAATATTTACGAAAAAAATGGAAGAAAAATTTTTTCCAATGAATTTACGTTATCTAGACGAAAAAAAAACGTCATAGCGTGATTCATTGCATTCGTATTTAAATGTCTTCATCGATATTTTATATGTTTTTTTTCTTGTTACAAAATTATCAAAAAAAAATATTTACGAAAAGACGGAAGGAAAAAGTTTTCCAAATGAGACTTTACATACATTATCAATATTCGCTTATCTTATATCGCGTTAAATCGTCGTCAAATCTTTTTCGTTTTATCGTATTCATTGTCAATTAACCGTATACCTGCAAGGCCGTTGCACGCCTTAAAAGGAGCGACACGAGAGACAACCAGCCCCCCTTCCTCCCTCCTCCTCCCACCTTCTTTCCTTCCTTCATTCTACATCGTTTAAAACGCGCTCGCGCGCAACGCGATTTGCCACGGATACACACACACACAAACACACACATACGGCCAGTTTCTACCAAGAATCTTAAGTCTTAACCGAAACCTAAAAGTTTCGGTTGCAATTAAACACTCGAGTCGAATCAATTTGGTCTATAAGTATTATAGACCAAAAAACAAACATTCAATCAATTTTGTCAAATAATAAACAAATCGTTTATACGACGTGTAAAAATAATTATGATGGAATTTTAGAAATATTGTGTATGTAACTTACCGATTGGTTTTCCATCGATGCTTTTGTTATATTGATAGGATACCTGTTTATAAGCAACGGTTTTACTTTGTCCCGGTTGAACCTAGAAAAAGAAACAAAGAATAATCATGAATTGTTTAATTTTACTTATCATTTGAATTCAATTTAATCATTTAAGGATTAGAGATATTTTATTTACGTATAGAATTATAATAATTTAAGTATCTTTTTTTTTTTCTTTCTATATCTAACATTAAGGTTTATTATGTGTAATTGAATACAATTAAAAGTTTCAAGAGAAAAATGATTTCTTTCTGTTTTGATTAAGTGATTCATTAAATTTAAATTCGAAGGATGATGAATATTTGAATTTTTCATCCATATTGATCAACCAATAGTTTAAGAATATATATGTATAAAATTATTCGTTTTTTCTTGTTAGATTCTTTGAACGAGAAATTAGATTGAATTAATGCGAACACGTGGGTCGTACTTTGAATACATCGACTTTCCTTATATGACTCTGATTAAGAGTATCCATCGTAATTGACGTTGGCGTTATCGATATCACGTATTTAAAGTATTATGGAATTTGATTTAACGAATCGATGAGATATAACATTAACGTGAAACTTTTAGAAATATCATTTTGTAATTCGTTCTTCATATAATGCTATAACATATTATTTCGATCGTTAAATATACTCGCGAATCATTTCAATTGCTCAATCACATCAACAGTTTCTATTCAAGCTTAAAGGTACAATTATAATAAAACGTTACGCAAATCAAGTAATCTGTATCATGAATGTATTAGTTATTAGCCGAACATTAATATTGTATCCGAGGAGATCGTATTTATATCGAACTATGAACTTACGATTGGCAAATTAAAAAATAAAAAAAATTGATAAAAAAAAGCAAAGTAAATTATTAAAATGAGAT